TCTCCGTTGCGTGTCGCTTCGCGTTGAATTTTCGTCGATGTTAAGCCTAACGAAGACTATTCTATCGTTAAAAATTATTTTTTTATTTTGTACGAACAAAATAAATATATTGAAAAATATAAAAACAATAAAAAAATTATACTTCAGAAGTTAATTTAGTATCAAAAACGTATAATATTTGAGTAGCCCAAGACATAGCCAAAGATCGCAGCGCCACAGCACTGGCGTAAATTTAAATTTGCCGACTGGAATTTTTTCGGATGATTGACTTTCGGATAATCGACGCTCTACTGTAATTCTATTATTTCATATTGCTTACACGACATGTGTTAAAAAGCATTGTATGGAAACATGAACTCCTGTGATTTTAAATCGTAATTAAACTTGTTTTGATTAATCTAATTTTATCAAAATTACATTGAAGTCAATAGTTATTACAATTTTAATAAAAATAAACTGGTTTCTCATGAAGTTTTATCACCTCTTACTTGCATACAGGCAAGTTTAATGTTACGTACTGTACACCATGGTCCAGCGTTAAATATTTCGTATATATAATCCAAGACAGTGGTGTAATAAACTTACACGTACATATTTAATACATATATGTATATGATTATATATGTAGCTGAATATTTAATTGAATTAAAATCACTACAATGTGTATTAATTAATACTATATACATACTGAATTATGTCACCGATAATTCATCATGTATTGTCTTTTATTCCTGTTTTATTTTTACAATTTGAGACACTGCTTTATATCTTGATTTTTTCTATCAAAAGAAGTGTCTGGAATAGGGATTATATTAATGATTCTTTATACTGTGTGTTATTTATGATACAGTTTATATGTATATTATTTTAATAACTTTGTACTTTTTTAAGGATATTGAACCAACATTGGATGATATATCATTAAGTATAAAACCTGGAGAATTGTTAACTATTATAGGTTCTGTTGGATCAGGAAAGGTGAATATCTCGATATTTAATTTAAAATTTAATATTAATAATCTATATATAATTGTTCAGATTAAGTAAGAACATTTAAATTAAGAAGTTAGATCAACTTACATACTTCTTGTATTCTATATAAGTTTCTATATACATTACTACTCTGCTAACGTAAAAAATTTTTTCCTAACTACTAATAATTTTATACCTTTTTTGAACCAGACTTCTTTACTAATGTCAATATTGAGAGAAATTCCGATTATTTCTGGAAGAGTATCAGTGAAAGGAAAAGTTTCTTATGCTTCACAAGAAGCCTGGATATTTAACGGAACTATAAGAGAAAATATCTTATTTGGAGAAGAATATCAAAAAAAGAAATATAGTGACATTTTAAAAATAACAGCCCTTGAGAAGGTAATGAAATATTTTATGTTCTTGCTTGTAAAGTCGATGAAAAGAATATTTTATTTTCTTTTGCAATTCCACAAATTTGGGATTAAATTTAACGTGACATAATTTAAGTGAGAAAAAATTATCTTTATGGATCTAACCAAACATAAAATTATGATGGTAAAATAATATGATTTGTTTGGTTGTCTTTATTGTTAATATATTCGAGAAAAATAATGTTGCATAAGATTAAAAATAGGTTCTGTGACCCATGGATTCTTTCACCACAAGGAGGAACGATAAATCACGAAAAAAATAACAATAGAAACTGTTTGGTAATAAAGTACAAATGATAAATTTATTTTATAGCTTCAGTTTGACAATTACATGCTTTCATATAAAATTATTAATTGCATTGTATTAATGGAAATAAGGAAACGTAGCATATGTGTGATCTCCTTAAGATGGATACGTGTTACGAGATCAGGTTACTCTATAATCATATATTTAAATATTATATAATATTTATACTTGTGTACGTTCTGTATATCAAGTTTTATATCTATATATATATTATGAGAAATACTAATATAGGTTTTACTTATTTTAGGATATAAGTTTATTTCCAGAAGAAGATTTGACAGTTGTAGGTGAAAGAGGAGTGATGATGAGCGGTGGTCAGAAAGCAAGAATTAATCTTGCAAGGTCAGAAACTTCTTATTTTAAGAAAAATAAGATCAACACAATCGTAGATATTGCTTCTCGGTGTAATACTTACCCATTGATTATGTTGTAAATATATTTAAATATATATTTTCAGAGCATTATACGTAGATGCAGATATATTCCTCCTTGATGATCCGTTAAGTGCTGTTGATGCTCCAGTAGCGAAACACTTATTCGTAAAGTAAATAGTGGATTTAAACGTTAGTCAATACGTATATTTTAATGTATTTAAAAATTTATTATTTTTCAGATGTATAAAAGAATATTTAAAAGAAAAAGTTTGCATTCTCGTTACACATCAAATACAATTTCTAAATTCTAAATTTTTCTCCGTTGCGTGTCGCTTCGCGTTGAATTTTCGTCGATGTTAAGCCTAACGAAGACTATTCTATCGTTAAAAATTATTTTTTTATTTTGTACAAACAAAATAAATATATTGAAAAATATAAAAAC